GGGCAGCTAATCTGCATTACAATGTAAGGAGGGAAGAGAAGCTAGCGCTTGAGCTGCTGCTACCCCTCCCTTGCCTCTTGCTCTTTGCCACCACCATGAAAGGTGGCTTTCTGCCATGTGCTGCTCTGCCTTGGAGCCAGCTGAGTTTGGACTGAAACCTCCAGTAACTGTGAGCTAAATAAACCTTTTCTTCCTTCATTTTGAGTGTTGGGTATTTGTCCCAGCAACGAGAGAAGAGTAACTAAGACATGCACTGAGACAGCAATTGAGACAGGGTGTGGTGGCGTGAGCCTGTAATCCCAGCACTTGGGAGGCTGTAAAAAGGCGGATCACTACGAGTCGGATCTAGCATTGAGACCTGAATACCCTGTAGACCTTTCCCTAAAATATAAATAAATAAATAAAATAAAAATAGTCAACTGAAAGTAGGAAGAGTGAGAAAATAACAGGACATTTGGGACAAAGAGCAAACTGTCCAGCTTATACACAACAATAATTATACTAAATGTAAATGCCACTTAAAAGGTAGAGATTGTTAGACTGGAGAACCAAGAAGAAATGTCACCCACAAGAAATGTGATTTAAATATGAAAATACAAAAATGTTTACCATTATTAATACTTTTGTTTTTTCAGCACTGGGTACTGAACCCAAGGCCTCTTGCACGCTAGGCATGTGCTCTACCACTAAGTCACAGCCCCAGTCTCCAAAATAAAAAGGAGAGAGAGAGAAAGATAAACATCATTTCTAATCTAAGAAAGTGGGATCCAGGTTGAGTAGCACGTTTGTAATTCAGCACTTGGGAGGATCAGGCAGCAGGACACTCTCCCCAATGAGTTCAAAGCCAGCCTCAAACTGCATAGTGAGTCCAAGGTTAATGTGAATTACATAGGGAGGATTTTTTTTTTTGGCTGGCTCAGGCTCCCTTACGGGCAGGTGTGGTGTGGCATGTGGAGCTGGGGATCAAACCACGGTCCTGCAATCCTGATTGGGTTTGCCCATGCAGGCACTTAAACAACTGAGCTAACTGCCAAACCCCCAACACGGGAGAACTTGTAAAAAAAAAAAAAAAAAGAAAGCAGAAAGCCAGAACAACTAAATTAATATAACACAGACTTTGAGGTAAAGCATATCGGAGATAAAACAGGTCATTTCTTGAAGACATAATCCTGTGTCTATATCCAATAAGAAATCTCCATTGGCAATATTATGTCCTTTTTCAGTAACTGACGGAACAATCACAGGATATATAAGACTTCAATGACATCCACATGTACCCTGAGGTACACAGACCACTGCATCTACCGGTTGTAAAACCCACATTCTTTTTAACATAAGATATACCAACAGTTGGGCCAGAAGCAATTTTAAAAAACTGCTATCGCATACAGTGTTCTTTGCCCACATGAAATTAAATTAGAAATCAATAAAAAGAAATCTGGAAAATCTCCAAGTACCTGGAACTAAATAACTCACATGTAAATAACCTTTGGGTCAAAAAAATCCCAAGGAAAACTAGAAAACTTTTAGCTGCGTGATACTGAAAATACAACATATCAAAATGCGTGGAATGCAGTTAAATAGCTTTTCTCCCTTCTTTTTCTTTTTCTTTCCTTCCAGCTGGCCTTGAACTCACTATTTAGTCTATGTGCAGTGATCCTCCTGCCTCAGCCTCCTGAGTGCCAGGATTACAGATAGCCACCACAATGCCTGGCTTTTCTATTTTAGTTTTCTGAATGCCAGAATATGACCACTACAAAATTTATCATATGGTAAAAGCTGAATTTCAATTTTTTTTTTTTTCTCTGAGAAAAAGATCAAACCAAACACAGTAAGAAAAACAAATTCTGAGCCTGGGAGGTGTCGCTCTAAGGCAGAGTGCTTGCCTAGCATGTGTGAGGCCTTGGGTTCTATCTCCAGCACTGAAAACAGTTTCCTATCCCTTTCACAAACATTTCTAGCTATGGGTATCTCAGATTCTTCCAATGAAAACTCTATTATAATAATTAGTCAAATGCAGGTTTACACACATACACCACATGAAATTAGCATATGTCACCAACTGAACTGGACAGTCATAAGCTGACAAGGAGATGACTATGTTGCTACTTCCCAGATGAGGAAATGTGGCCAGAGAGGGGAGCAGAACCTGCTATGTGTAGTTTTCAAAACTGTAGCTCAAACCTGGGTCGCTGGCATGAGCCCAAGACTACTTACCCCATTCCCTAGCACCCCCCACCAGGCGCACCTTTCTGTGCAGCACCATTATAGTTTTTTCCAGGAAGGATACATAATAGTCCAATCAAAAGGCCACACAGGTTGCTCAGGAAAGAAGTCTGAGGAAGGAGCCAAGAGGCGCCCAGCAGGAGCCACGGCACCAGGACAGAGGGCACGACCACGCCGAACACCAGGGCCCGCCGCATGCGGGTGCGGACAGTACTGACTCCCAGCATGGCGAAAGCTACCGGGGTGAAACCTCTGGCATCTTCCACCTCCCCCAGCTTTGACAGCGATGACACAGCCTCGAGTGACAGGAAGACGACAGCGGAGGAGACGGTGAAGATCAAGGTGAAGAAGCAATGGCGGACGGTTCCCACAGATTTCTCAAAACTGCCGCCAAAGCGCCAGATGATGACTGCACCGCAGAGCAGGGAGACCGGGTTCTCATAGACAAAGATGTAGGTCACCAGCCTGTGAACTGAAGAGGGGCTGGGTCAGTGTCTGCCGCTGGGTTGCTCCGGGGAGGGAAAGCCAGGGAGTGAGCCACCGGGGAAAAGGGGGAGCAGCCTCTCTGCTAGCAAACCAGAGTGGGAGAATCAGCAGGCGAGCAGTAGGAGCAACAGCGAAAGACCCAAGATACAGTAGAGGTGGGAATGTCTAATCCCTGTTCTTCCCCTTCTGGGCCTGGAGTAAATCTTATCAGCAAAAATTTCCATGTGTGAAAACAAAACAAAACACAACTGTTGGCACGGAGAGGTTTCTGAGTTTGTACAGTGCTTTATAATCCTCTGGAGATTTTAAGACTGACCTACCTCACTGGGCAGTTTGAGGGTTAATTAATTGTAACAGCTTCAGGCTGGATTGAGAGGGTGTCACTTAACACTCTGGGTGCCAGTCTCCTCAGCTGTAATCCTGACCTCTCTTTCCATAGTGGCTGTTCAGAGGAAGAAGAAAGAGATCATGAATTATTTTACAGCTAAAGGGATTATAAAACTCTCATGATTAATACAGAAAGCAGAACTGTTCCTGGAAAGTATATATCCAGTCTCGCAGGGAAGGCAGTTTTCTGTGCAACCAGACAGCAAAAAATCAGACTTTCATTTTTCTCTAATGTATTTTTATATTATTAAAGGCTGAAACACCAAACTGAAGAAGAGAGACTGATAAAGTGACAGTAATCGTGGACAGAAGGCTTGGAGTGGAACCTTTTTTTTTTTTCATAATTTGAAGATCATTCCTTATCTATAAAAATTTATTCCATTGTTTTGTTATATACACAGAGTGGAATCTTGGCTCTATCATAGCCAGGATAGCTGAATTTGGTCCAAGGTACAAGCTCTCCCGCTTCCATTTCCTCCTTGTAAAACAATGGGGTTAACTTGAGGCCTTAAAGGTCTGTCACATAACCACCATGCAAATGGCCATGAACCCCACACCTAGGGCTGGGGAGATAGCTCCGTGGAATAAGTGCTTGCCTGGCAAGTGCAAGGTCCCGAGTCCGATCTCTGGTACCACCAAAAAATAAAATAAAGTAAGAACCCCACACCTAGGGAAGTGGGGTGAACTACTGACAAAGAGGAAACTCACTTTGCTTCAATCTCTGAGGAGGTGCTGTGTGCATCCCGGACTGCGGGACATCAGTAAAATTGAGCAGGGAAGTGGGCTGTGGAAACATACACCTCAGTCAGGTCGGTCTCTGCAAGGCTTCGTTATCTGAAGAGTACTTCATTATTTGGTGAGTACTTCTACAACTGAAATTCCAAGTACAAATGTGAAACTCTAGACAAAAATATCTTACTTGGGGTTTATGTACCCCCAGGCTCTAGTTTCAAAGCATTACATAATAAAAGCAAAAAGCTGAGTTCCTATCTCAGTTCTATGACTTAACAGCTCTGTGAGTCTGCTTTAAGCTCAGTGTCACTGAAATAATAGATAACTTAATATGGCCTGTCCTGGAGTCACTGAGGATGAACTGAGATAACGCATTTGAGTAAGAGTGATACACATTTCCCTATTTATCCAGAAAACAATGCGGAAGAGAGGGTAGAAATGACTTTTGGTACCAGGAATCGAACTCAGGTCCTTATACTTACCAGACAGGTATTGTGCCACTGAGCTAAATCCCCAGCCCTGGGAATGATTTTTGATCAACGGATGTTTAAACTTAATTGGTCTGCAAAATTGCTTTCTCCAGAGAAAGTGAACACCTCTAAAGGCAGAAGACATGCACCCCCTGACACATAACCTTGTGAGTCGGGCATTACTCCAGATTAAGATACAAACGAAGCATTAGAAGTTGCAAACTTCAAGCACACGGGATGTTTAGGAGTTGGCAACTGAATTTAATTGTGAAAAAAGTGGGAGAAAAACAAAGGCGGAAGACCGACCGACAGACAGTCTTTACACTCGGGGAGAGACTGGGGAGTGGATTAGGGCTGTGACCAGTCTGGAGATGACAGGGAAGAAAGGGATATTCTGACTTCGAGAATGAGGCTCGAGTAACCACAGGAAGCCAGGGACAGAGCTGGAGGCTGGATGTCCGCTGGGGACAGGGGTGCGCACGAGGCGGAGGCAGCGGGCAGTGAGGCCCCAGGGGCGAGTCCCGCGAGGCTGGAGCCCAGAAAGGCGCGACGGCGGAGCGAAGGGGCTCCTCGCGCCGCCCCGGCCCCGCCCCGCTCACCTTGCCAGTGGCGCACAGCCTCGGACTGCAGCGACAGGTCCGAGGGCTCCCGAGGGGACTGCAGCAAGAACAGACGGGGTCCGGAGACGAGCAGCGAGACCAGCGCCGTGAAGAAGGTGGCGGATGGCATCTCGAGACACAAGCACCAGCTCCGATGCCCGAACCCCGAAGGGGCCGGAGCTCCCGGGGCCGCAGAGGGCGCCATAGTGGCCAGCGTTCCCGCGCTGGGCCTCAGCACCTTCCGGCTCGCTGCGCCTGTCTCCCCTGGCAACAGCCGAGGTGCGGCCGGAAGTCCCGCCTCCTCAACGACCCGCCCTTCACCAAACTGCCCAATCCTGGGTCGCCGTCTGCCGGATACCTGGAGGATCCTGTCTGTGTTACTAAAGCAGCTCTAGGGACCTCCTGCTCTCTGGTGGCTGCTCCACCAAGTCGATTATTACAGTTGGGGCTTTGATTCCATCATCCCATCCTGGATTCCTAATGAGTATGGTACCTTCTGGTCCTCGGAGCTCTGTCATACCATACTCTTCTTATCTATATTGATTCCCATTTATACCAAAGGGGAAACTGAGTCTCGGAGGGTCCCAGGGTAGCACGGTTAAGTGCCAAAGACAGAATTAGAAGTTAGGTCCAGCAGATTGTTATCGGGTTGAATCTGAAGGTCCCCACAGCTCTGAAGTAAAGAAGTTAACCTATTCTTTTTGAAGACTAGAATTTATGAGTTCGCAGACTACTGTCAGGGCAAAAAAAAATTTCCAATGTGTTAGCAAGAGACAAAAGCAACATAAAGGAATGCAGGCACTCAGAGACATGAGATACACTAGGAGTTGGGTACACTTTAGGAGGTGTCTTTAAGTGCTGTGGAAAGTGGAAACACTGAAGGACACCCAGGATTTTTTTTTTTTTTTTTTTTTTTTTTTTTTTCCGGAACCGGGGATTGAACTCAGACCCTTGCGCTTGCCAGGCAAACACTTATTGTACTGAGTCGTCTCCCCCGCCCGACACCCAGGATTTTTAAAAAAAATTTTTTTTAGTTTTTAATTTAATATGAATGAGACAGTTTCAAAGCTGATTAGTAGGACAGTTTCGATAATCAATACGTTGTACACTGTTACCTTCTTAGTGCTTATCCATAGCACAAGAAGTGGACAGGATGTCATGTCCAAACACTATTAGTACACCTCTTTCTTCTCATTTAATTAAGTGAAAGTAGCTGTATATCTATCCTATTTTGTATACATAAATACAGAATGATCTTTCCTTTGTATTCCCCCCCCCCTTCTTTTTTTGTTTAGTCCTGTCAGAGGTGGATATTCTATTGGCATCTAAATACCATAGGTGTTTGAATTCAGGTAAACAATCCAACACAGTCCAGCAGTCTATAATATTAGTGGGTTATCCTCAGAAGTTATTGACTTGAGCCTTTTACAGCTCATCGTATTAATATGGCTTTACTTTATATACCTCATTTTTATACTTTTCTGCTGGATGTTTAAGACCAAGATAAAGTAAGACCTATATAACAAGAAATGTAACTTTTGTATCTGATAAGGTCAGTCAAGTACCCTCAGGATCTATCCTGCAGCCCTGTACTGCCCTTTGTAGATCCTTTTTTAGTGTCAGCCATGAGGATGAGTCGCGGCCATTGCTAACACCCAGGATTTGGAGGCAGATTTATTTTATGTTGATGGGCATTGAGTAGGATCATTCGTGAAATATCAGGTCCTGATCTCTGTCAGGGCTTATATGAGACAAGCAAGCAAGAAGGTACAGAGGCAGAATGGCTTGTCAATTGGGGATTGGTTCTTACAATATGCATCAGTGACCAGCTGCTTTTAGGACACAAGAAGCAACCTGAACTGCAATAGGAACTATTACCTGGGCAACTAAGAAACTGAAGTACGCCGGTGGTGTTGGGGGGTGTGTTTTGGTTACACAAGGTGGGTGGTCTTGGATGTGTATTTGCACTCTTGTCGGGGTTATAGTGCAAGCCATCTTTGTGTGTTTGATGTCGAGATCTGCTGTCCACCAAAACTGCTGCTTCCTGAGGATGGAGAAAGCTCCATTTTTAGGTAAAAACGGCCCAATTTCACACTATGTCCTTAAGACCTTTAAGTTAGTATAGAGGATGAACACAAATTACAACTATGGCCCGAGGTCCATTGTTAAAGCCAGGCCACAAGGTAAAGAAGGAATGACCAGGCTGACATGCTTCCCCAAGGGATAAGCAGTATACTATAATTGATATCAGCTGGTCCAATAAAGTCTAGCTAGACATCAGTCACCCAGGTAGGTAATCAGGACTTAGCAATGTATTCCTTCCTAAAAAGATCTTTGTTCTCTCCATGTACACTTGCTACATGACTTGCTTCCCCATTGGATCAACATTACCTAAGCGGCTGTATTTGTAATCTTATTGGTTGATCATAGTTTTTGACCCACGTTGTATCCACCTCATGATTTTGCTCTATAAAAGTAGGCCCATTTAACCTACTTTGGGTACTCTCCTGTCTCTCAGGAGCTATCTCTCTCAATAAAGTTTTCCTATTTGTAACCTCTGTTGTTCATTAGAATTCATTCTTTGATTTTGGGGAACACGAACTTGGTGTACAGTGATCCCTCACTTATCACAGAGGTTACATTCCAGACACTGCCACGATAAGTGAAAATCAGTGAAATAGCAACATTATGTTTAATATTTATATACATTTTAAGGCTTTATAAACCTTTCCCACACTTTTTAAAACTCTTCTAATATTCTTAACCATTTCTTAAGCTTGTAAACCTACATAATTTTAATAACATTTGTATACTGTGTGGTGCTGCAAAATCCCACAATACAGTGAGAAATACACAACAAATAATTTAGATTAATATTTTTGGAAAGCCCACAAAACAATGAGTCTGCAAAAATTGAACTGTGAAATAGCGAGGGACTACTATGTCTGCCATCGAGCAGGTTGGGAGTTCTATTTGCCCTATATCACCCACATCTGGTAGAGCCCCTAGAATGGTGGAAACAACATGCCAGTTGTCTACCTGAAACAGCTATTCTTTGTCAAAAGAGCTTCTCAAATGACAAAGGGTTGAAATAGGCCTTATGGTCAGGTATTTTCTCATAGTAATGAAAAGTTGACTGGTATACCCAATCTTGGGTATTTTGTTGTAGGAATGGAAAATGGGCTAATGTAGAGCCTAACACTTCTGCCCTGTAAACACAGAAAATACCTGTAGAGGGAAAATGTGAGCTGACAGCTGTGGCCAATCTTTTCTTTTTTCTTTTCTTTGTATTTTAGGGAAGGGTGTACAGGGTGTTCAGGGTCTCACTACTAGATCAGACTTGTAGTGATCCACCTGTTTACAGCCTCCCAAGAGCTGGGATTATCGGTGTGCCACCACACCCCGTCTCACTTGCCGCCTCAGTGCGCCCCGGTGTCGGGTCGGCATGGCAGGCCCAGGGATTAAAGCACCGGCCCCTGTGCCTGCTTGCAGGTGCTTTAGTTGGCTGAGCTATTTGGCCGGCCCAGGCCAATCTTTACTAATGTACTTAGGTATACTTCAGAAATGCAGTGTGAGGTGCATCTGTGAAGGTGGTTGGTATTACAGCAGCTTTTAAAATCCTAATTATATAAGATTTTTTTTTTAACTGTAGAGAAGAGACAAAAAAGGGAAATAAAAACCAGATTCCCAAAATATCAGGGTTAGGAAGTTTGCAGTGAACATTTTCTTGGGCCCACAGTGTGCTAGATCTGTCCCAGAACCGTGAATTCAGAGACAGAGATAAAACAGATATAGCTTCTGCCCTCAAGCGGCTTATGATCCTAAGCAACACTTTAGTGTAGAAAGTGTGTTGGAACCATTCACCTATAGAATGAAACCTGATCCAAAGTAAACCTCTTCTCCTTTAGGTTATAGGTGTTGTGTATTGTGTCTCAGCAGTGAGAAAGTAACTTAGACACTGAATGATTTCTTTTAATTGTTTTGGACCCAGGCCTCTCTCTGGGAACTACAGTACATCCTAGTCTAATCTTGTTTTAGTTTTTATATTGAAATAAGTTCTTCTGACATCACTAGGTTGCCCAGGCTGGGATCAAACCTGGGATCTTCCTGCCCCGGTCTTCCCAAGTGCTGGGATTATAGGTCTGCACCACCATTCCTGGGCTGTCCAAATATTCTTAATCCACAGAAGGTTGAGTCTGGGGGTGCAGAACCCACAGGTAAGATTGTCAGTGGATCGTATGCTAATGATACTGTGCATATTTAAATTAATGCTGCTCATGAAAATAATTCTTTGTTTCTCATAGGAAGCAGAGTGAATCCAAGTGTAACAAAGCAGCTGAAAATAGCAAATTGAAACTTCAGCTCTAATGATAAACATGTGGTTCTTTCCACTGTACCAGGGGTTTATCAACTTTGTGGATGTGTGGAACCCCACAATCCACCTACGCTATACCTTTTTATTTTGCAAGTTTGGGTTGTACAACTGTGTCAGAAGAAATGATGGTGGGAGGGTGGGGATTCTTATGATCTCTATTTTAGGAATAGGAGTATGGAAATCCATATTGAAACCGTGATTGGTCTTTAAGTTTACTCCTGGGAAAGTAACAGGCTGAAACTACTTTTGAAACAAATTGGAGGGCTGGTGAGATGGCTCAGTGGTCTAAAGCACCTACTTAGAACAAGCTTAGGAAAGCACAGGGACCGCGGTTCAATCCCCCAGCACCACATGCCAGCCAGCCCCGCCCCCTGGTGGGCTGAGCTGGCCACACACACACACATAAATAAATAAAAAATTATTAAAAAAAAGAAACAAATTGGCCTTGCTACACACCATAGAGAATAAACTAAACCACTAAAGTACTCATGAGTAAGCTAAATAAATGGCAATTTATAATACAAAAGCAAAAGTAGCACAGTTGTAAATATCAGGGACCTGCCCATTAGCTCAGTTGTTTCAGTGCCTGCTTAAACAAAGCAGTCAGGCTCAAGATGCTCTGGTTCGAACCCAGTTTCTCATAGGAAACCAGAAATGCCCTCAAGGCATCTTCAGGCCGCCAAAAAAAAAAAAAAAAGTAAATATCACCCAAACGCTGAAAGCATTGGCTCTCTTTGTGGCATATGGGCTAGGATTTTATTTTATTTTATTTTTTTGGAACCAGGAATTGAACTCAGGGCGTCATACTTACCAGACAGGGGCCATGCTGCCGAGCTATACTCCTGGCCCTGGGCTAGGTGTTTTGCAAGGCAGTCAGCTCATCTCAGAAAGGTGAGAAAGAAGTATTCTCAATTCTAGAAGTGCATCAGTTTCAATTTGTGTATAGAAACCTATGTAACTTGTATTAGCCAGTTTACTGTTAATATCACAAAACACCTAAAGCAAGAGAATTTATAAAGAAAGGGGTTCATAATTTTGGAGGCTGAAGGTTCAAGCAGATTGGTGCTAGTTCCAGTGCAGGTGATCCAGCTGCAACGCCTCAAGGCAGATAGTATCATTGTGGGAGTTTGTGTGAGAGGTTAAAATTATGTGCTGGGTCAGGA